TAGAAAAAAACAAATTAGAGACTTAAAAAGACAAAAGAAAAGATCAATGAAACTAAGACCTGGTTCTTTGAAAATACAAACAAAATTGATAAACCTTTAGACTCACCAGTGTGGAGTTTTTTCTTGAGTTCCAGGCTCAATTCCAACAATCTAATAAATCTCTGTTCCTCTTATATTCCCATTCAAAGCCTGCTTCTTCTCTTGTGTTCCTTATCTCTGTGGGGATTTAGTCACCTAAATCAGTTATGCTAGGTAGTTTAGTTTAACTAAACTCTGCCTTCTCATTTTCTTGGTTGTCATTATTATTTTTAAAGGTTTTTCCTGTTCTTCATAGCTTGTTTTTTCCTTTATATTTTCACTGCCTCTACTTGGGTATTTCTGCAATAACCTTTCAGCAACCTTCTAACCTTCATTTCATTATCTAGTTGATTCTCTAGGTGCCACCAGAATCAGTGGCTTATTTAAAAATGCAAATCAGATTGTGTCATTGTCTTACTTAAATCCTTTAAGAATTGTCTGGTATTTATGAGATAAAATTAATATTTTTGGAATGGCATGTGGAGTTTTTCATAATTTGCCACTTACTAGACTCTCCAGTCTCATCTCTTCTTTTCAACTTTATATTGCATTAGTATAACCTACCTGTAGTTTCATTCTGTACTATTCTCTGCAAAATCTATAGTTTAGACTTTGGTAGTGTCTGCTGGTATGATCTTCTTTCTTTATCTACTGAAAGAATTTAAAAGTAAGCATAGTTGTGCTCCTGCAAAATTTTTTTTGACACCTTTTGGTAGAATTATTAATTCTTCAAAAAATGCCACAAACTTCTGGGTTTTCATACAAGTGTTCTAATGCTCTTTTTTCAGTCTATATCTACTGCTTCTGTAGACATTTTTTGTTTGTTTCTGTGATTTATATCTTAGTCATATTTGTCTCTCCTTTGTGAAACAACAACAAAAAGTTTTCCATTAGACATTTGAGGCTCTGAAAAGTTTTAAAGACTGGATTATATTCATTATTTATTTCTCTAGTATGTGATGGAAAATGTTTTATTATATAGAACCTCATAAAATTAAAATGTTACTTCACTGAGACTTGTTTAAAGAATTCAATGAAGGTATAAGAGCCAAGGAAATATCGTGTATTAATTGTCATAGATGTTGAGTGTTAAACATATATTCTAATTTGATATTTCTCAGAGAGGATCTTAGGACTTAATGGTGGTGGTTCTTCTGGTTTGTGTGCATATAATATTACATAAACTTTTGAAATTGGTGCTTTCTGATAAGGAAATTAATTATCATCAATACAAAGAAAAATAGTTTTAGAGAAACACTTAAACCACTCTAAAACAAAACAAAACAAAACAAATTAGCTGCAGTGGGATGAATTTTAGGTGACCAGAGAAATTCAGGAAACTTAAGAGTTAGAGAAGTAATACTAAGCTTATTGTCTCAATAAAGGAAAAAGAGAACAGGTTGGAGAAAGATACAATGTAAAAATCTTGTAGTAAATTTTGGAAACTTTTAAGGCAATTTGGAAAGACAGAATAGTCATTTAAATATCTTAAAGATTTATTTATTTGAGAGAGAGCCCATGTGCAACCAGGGGAAGGGGTAGAGGGAGAAGGAGAGAGAGAATCTCCAGCAGACTCCCTTTTGAGCACAGAGCCTGACATGGGGCTCGATTCCATGACCCTGAGATCATGACCTGAGCTGAAATCAAGAGTCAGATGCTTGACTGAGGCACCCAGACACCCCTCCTTTAAATTTTTTAAAGAATAATATATGGAGGGATGCCTAGGTGACCCAGTCGGTTAAGCATCTGACGTCGGCTCAGGTCATGATCATGGGGTCTTTGGATCAAGCCCCACATCAGGCTCTCTGCTCAGTGGGGAGTCTGCTTGATCCTCTCCCTCTGCCCCTCCTCCCACTTGTGCTCTCTCTCTCTCACAAATAAATAAATGGGGGCGCCTGGGTGGTTCAGTTGGTTAAGCGACTGCCTTCAGCTCAGGTCATGATCCTGGAGTCCCAGGATCAAGTCCCACATCGGGCTCCCTGCTCGGCAGGGAGTCTGCTTCTCCCTCTGATCCTCCCCCTCTCATGCTCTCTGTCTCCCATTCTCTCTCTCAGATAAATAAATAAAAAATCTTTAAACAAAACAAAACAAAACAAAAAAACAAATAAATGGGATCTTAAAAAAATATAAGAATATATGAAGGGTAAACTTTAAATAGATGCCCATGAAGTGGAGTGCCTTGCGTTTCATGCCATTTGGTTTTATGGTGGTGCCTTGGAACTAGCCAGCTTGACTAAGAGATTTTAGATTTCATGATGCTGCTAAACTGTAAGTGTGACTTCTTAGTTTCATTTAGTAGGTATATTTAAAATGCTTATAATGATGAAACAAATAGTATGTTTACAGGGATTGTAGTTTGCATTATTATTTTTTTTAAGCAGCACCCACGTGAGCGGGGCAGGGGGTGGAGGGAAGGGCAGAGAAAGAGGGAGAGAGGGAATCTCAAGGAGGCTCCACGCCCAGCACAGAGCCCAATGCGGGGCTTGATCTCAGGACCCTGAGATCATGACCTGAGCCAGAGTCAAGTTAGATACTTCCTACTGAGTTACCCAGGTGCCCCCATTATAGTTTGCTTTTGTAGTCCATTTGAAAACTAACATATCATTTGTCTGGTTTTCATTGTTCTGTTTCAGGTGTGATTTTACTCTAATGCTTTTTAGGTTGTTTAACAATGTATTTATTAACAATGTATTTATTTACATTGTTTTTCTTACTAGACTATAAAGTCATTTAGAGTAGTAGGAGTTGGGTTTTATTCATCTTTATTTCATTGACATTTAACTCATCATCTACTTGATGTTCCATAAATGTTGAATGAATAAATCATTGTCAGTTGCTACACAGTCCTGGAAGAGGTTTCATATATTCTTGGTAATATATTCATTTTCTTTGGGAATTAAACTTCGCATTAGGCAGTTCTTGTTTCTCTCAGAGTAGTAACTTGGTTCTTTGCTGCAATAATAGAATTTGTTCATTCGTTTGTCTTGGCAATTCTCATTTTTAATACAATTTTGAAATAGTAGATTAAAGTAACTAAAGAGCTTAGATCTTTATTCACCAGCAGTATATTGCTAATTGATTTCTGTGCCCCATTTACTATGTTTTTTTTTTTTTTTTAAAGATTTTATTTATTTATTTG